CAGTAATTAACTCTAAACTAAAATATTAATAAAGTAAAGCCCATCTCAGCTCTCTGCTCTCCCTCTCCCCTTCCACCCCCTTCCCCCACCTCCACTCTGTTTTTTTTTCTCCTCTACGAGAACATAAGCAGCAACAAACACAACATGACTCCACCGTCTACGGTCCCACGTGGCGCCTCTTTAGCCGCAACCTCACCTAGTGGGGCCTGCAAATGGGTTCTCAACATCCTAGGGGACTGGCTTGAAACAAATTCTCAATCCTAACCCAAAAGTGTCAGAGTGGTCGAGCATTTGCAATACGCCATGTTTTGCTTGTTGGTTTTGATGTCCTTTGGGGATAGATTGGATGAAAACCAAATCAAAGAAATAGTGTGTTTAGCATCCCTCGCTCTTGAGTTTTGGGCGATATCATTTCCTCAATTTTTTGCCTGAATTAGAATCTTGGGGCTTGGGGCTAGGGCTGTGGGTTGCGGGTTGGGATGGGATGGTCAGGTCGTGAGGGAGAAAGAGTAGAGGGGTGTGTGGGGGAAGGCTGAGAGGGGGGAGGTTGCGGAGTTGGGATGCCAGGCAGTGTTTTTGTATAAATCTGGGTTCGTTTACTCTTTTAAAAAAATCGTTATTTTATTTTTGTATTTATCTGATTTTAAAATTTTTAATTAATTTAAACAATACAGAAATTTGTTATTAATTTTTAGGTCAATCTCACCAAAAAAAAAAAAGCCATGTGGCTGGTGAGATTCAATGTTTTAAAATTTTCTATGTTTTATAATAGTTTTCTTTAATTTTTTATTATATATTACTATTTTAATTCATAGAGACACTTTTACCCCTGAATTTAATGGCAAAATTGACAGACTTTGATAGTAGGACCATTTTGATACTAAATAGAGAGTTGGAGGACTATTGAAATGAAAATTTTAGTTGGTGGACTAAAATGATATTGGAGCAAAAATTAAGGAACCATTTCAATCAATAACCAGGCTATAATATTATATAAGTTATTAAAGTCTTCAGTTGCTGGATTCCCTTTTGCATAAGGTATGTCGGTTCTTGTAACTGACAATTGCACCTAGTTCTCATAAGAACATGGGTGTTAAGAATTAGGAAAGTTAGTTTTAGTTTCCTTGTTTATATTGATTGTAATTGATTTGGAGTAGTCTACAAGTTCTTTGTAAATTTAGCTTGTAAACTCTGTAAATTTAGATGGGTGATGGGAATCGAAATTGATGTTATTTTACAAGATGTTCCGGATCTGCTCACAGAACAGAGCTATGATAATTTCTAAACTTGAAAGAAACTTTGGGCTACTAACTAGTCTTTGTTTTAGTAGTAATTTTAGCTAGAGGATGTCTCAAGTTTGATTCACATGGACAGCGATGAAGATATATGTTCTCAATGAATTTGATACTTTTGTTGTGGCTAGACTCATATTGTTGTGAAGTAGCTTTCTTTTAGGGCCAATTTAGTAGGCAATATTATATGGTCGGATGAGATCATAATTCATAATTCTAGTCAAATATTTGATGCAGCACTAAATGATTTTTAATTTTCCACCAAAATTGAAATTTAATGTACCAACACCAACGTCAGATTTTGCCAAATTATAGAGACCAGAATCATAAATTGCAAAAGCAAAAAAGAAGAAAAAGCTGGATTGAGTTTCAACTTTATGAATTACCAAATTCATTAATTACATATGCTTTATGGAACATTTTTATCTTTTTTTCATTTTTAGAAGTTTCCATTCCTTTGACCAGGATACCCCCTTAATTAAGGTTGGTAAAGAAAAAAGCAGTCCGTCCACAGTAGAAAATTCCTCGCAATATCTCCTTGCCTTGAGGTCAACCATGCACTCCCCCTTCCAATATTCAATTGTTTTATTTATTTGAAATCTCCAATTAGTCCTCATCAAAAATCACAAGAAGAACCAGTCCCGCCTCATCAAAAATCACAACAAGAGAACTTAAATTTGAGACTTCTTCTAATATTGTTGTAGATGTAATCATCAGACAGACAACTATTCTTCCACTTTTCACTAATTGTTGTAGATGTAAGAGTTTTCATTGTACATCTAATCATCATCAGAATGGCGCCATTAATGTTCTCCTTAAGATTTCTGTTCTTCCTTTCTCCCGTTTTGTTCCTCATGATCAGCCCTCAATCCCTTGCTCAGATATCGTGTTCCAACGATAAAGGCAACTACACCACCAACAGTACCTTTTGATCTTCTCCTGTCTGACTCTACCTTAACTTTCTGCCATATATAATAATAATAATATATGTATTTGTACCTACAAAAATCAACCACTCCCGTTTCAATCAATCCTCAAAAATCAAAATCTGTACCAGTCCACTCCATCTACATTTTAATTAAAACATTGTGAAATGGTCAAAAGAAGTATTTTGATGAATTGGAATTGGCAGGATTTGGTCTGAGTATTATTATATGACATATATCATTTGAGAAATAAATTAAATTTTCTTTTTGATGTATTATGCTCTTCTTCTTTTTTCTTTTTATCAACAAGACAAGAGAATTTAAATTTGAGACTTCTTCTAATATTGTTGTAGATGTAATCATCAGACAGACAACTATTCTTTCACTTTTCACTAATTGTTGTAGATGTAAGAGTTTTCATTGTACATCTAATCATCATCAGAATGGCGCCATTAATGTTCTCCTTAAGATTTCTGTTCTTCCTTTCTCCCGTTTTGTTCCTCATGATCAGCCCTCAATCCCTTGCTCAGATATCGTGTTCCAACGATAAAGGCAACTACACCACCAACAGTACCTACCACACAAACCTCAACACCCTTCTCTCTTCTCTTTCTTCCCCCTCCAACAACGGCAATGGGTACGGCTTCTACAACTCATCCTACGGGGAAAACCCCGACCAGGTTTACGCAATCGGGCTATGTCGAGGGGATGCCACGGTGGACAGTTGCCGTGGCTGCCTCAACGACACCGCACAATTGCTCACACAGTCCTGTCCCAATCAAAAGGAAGCTTTCGGCGCAGGTGATCAGTGCAACCTTCGCTACACCAACCGCTCCATCCACGGAGTCATGGAAACTTCCCCTGCTTTCCGGCTGTATAACGTACAGAACGTGTCCTCCTCCGACGTCGTCGAGTTTGATCAAGAGCTGAGGACGCTACTGGAGGACCTAAGGGGTCAAGCTGCAGGGAACGGTTCACTTCGAAAATTTGCGGTAGGGAGCGCAACCACTCCCAGCTTCCAAACAATCTATGGACTTGCGCAGTGTACGCCGGATTTGACCGAGATGCTCTGCAGTAATTGCTTGGGTACTTCTTTGGGAGATATCCAAAGATATTTTCCGGGGAATCAACCAGGTGGTATAATTGTTAAACCCAGCTGTGATGTTAGGTATGAGACCTATCCCTTCGTTGACCCTACAACTGTCCGACCATTGCCGTCTCCTCCGCCGCCAACCAGTACAGGAGGTAGGTATATATATCCCAATATATTATGCTTTGAAGAAATAAAGTTGGCTTAACTAGAGCAATTGTCCAGGAATTTGTAGATGAGTTACATTTTAGTCCCTCAATTCAATTTTCAGTTGATGTAGTTGTCTCGTGTACAAGTTCAGGGACCATTGCTACCATTGACACTATAACAATTTTGGGTCGAAGAGATTTCTAATGCATATTTTGTTAGGTTCATATACAGATGTATGTATGTATGTATTCAAATTAATGCCAATGAGATTTCCGATTTTTGCAGGATCGAAGAGTAACAGATCTCAGACTGTCATAATTATTGTTGTGCCAATTGTTGTTTCTATGGTACTAATAGTTATATACTTCTGCATTTGTTTAAGAGTAAGGAGGACAAAGAAAAAACTTGAAACTAGGAAGTTAATTCCAGGTAAGGACGCAACTCTAGTGAACATTAATTAATCATATTATTCCATTTGATAGGGAGGAAGCCAAGTACTACTACTTTTATAGGAATTTTTAGAATTTAAATTGTTCCTCAGGCAGCGACGATACAGATGAAATTGGATCTGTAGAATCCTTGCAATTTGACTTGGCCACCATTAGAGTTTCCACAGATGACTTTTCTGAAGCAAATAAACTTGGACAGGGGGGATTTGGATATGTTTACAGGGTAGTGACAAGTTAACAAGAACTTATAACTTTGATATTTCTTGAATGCCACTTATATCATTTCTGTTTTTTCATTCCGTACCTATATATTTTTTCAGGGTAGGCTTCTCAATGGAGAAGATATAGCTGTAAAAAGACTCTCCACAAATTCTGGGCAAGGAGATTTAGAATTCAAAAATGAGGTCTTATTATTAGCTAAACTTCAGCACCGGAATTTAGTTAGACTCTTAGGTTTCTGCTTAGAAGGAAGTGAAAGGCTTCTTGTCTATGAATTTGTCCCTAATGCAAGTCTCGATCACATCATATTTGGTATGTCTGGAATTATGCATTGTTTTCGTTTGACTTTGAATGTTTATTATAGAATTCCAATTGTGAAACATGTATGCAAGAAAACATTGTAATTGAAGTCTTGATTTTGCATTAATATATTTGCAGACCCAACAAAGCGAGCACAACTAGATTGGGAGAGGCGCTACAAAATCATAGTAGGCACTGCTCGAGGCCTCCTTTACCTCCACGAAGACTCTCGCCTTAGAATTATTCATCGTGATCTCAAAGTTAGTAACATCTTGATAGATGCAGAAATGAACCCCAAAATTTCAGATTTTGGCATGGCAAGGTTGTTCGTGCCTGATCAAACGGAAGGCAATACTAGTAGAATTGTTGGGACCTAGTAAGAATATGCACTCAACTGCCTGTGGGCTTATGTTTGTTATGTCAACAATTTCCTTTCCATATGTGTTGGTGAACGATGACATTCTTTTAGTTGATATGCAGTGGGTATATGGCTCCAGAGTATGCAATGCATGGGTACTTTTCTGTTAAGTCTGATGTCTTCAGTTTTGGTGTGTTAGTTCTAGAGATAGTCAGTGGACAAAAAAATATTGGCATCCGGCATGGAGAAAATTTGGAGGATCTTCTAAGCTTCGTAAGTGAAAATATAATATAGGTTTTAAATCTCAATACAATTTAGTGCAACGAATTAAAGAAAGGAAACTTATCTCTGATCATTTCTGCAAATTCACAAATCATTGCAGGCCTGGAGAAGTTGGAGGGAAGGGACAGCTTCAAATCTAATAGATCCTACATTGAAGACTGGTTCAAAAAATGAAATAATGAGATGCATCCACATTGGATTATTATGTGTGCAAGAAAATGTAGCTGATAGGCCAACCATGGCTTCTGTTATTCTCATGATGAATAGCTACTCCTCCACTCTCCCAGTGCCCTCCCAATCTGAATATAATTCAGGGGCAACAAGGTCAGATCGATCCAAGAGTAACTCTGTCATAGTAATGGAATATGAGACTTTTACTGAACCACATCCGCGCTAGTAATGGAATATGAGACTCCACATTCTTGATACAATAACAGAGGAAGTGCTATATAGCAAAGCATTTACTTCTGATGGATTTGTGGAGAAAATTATCCAAGTCTGTTGATTTTCAGGATCTGGATCAATGTGAATCAAACCAGAGTGTAATTTATTATATTTGTATGACACTTCTGTATAATGAATATCTAGTTTTTGCGATGATTCATGCATATAGAATAACATTGCTGATGACGTCCGGTTCAACCATTCCTTTTTTTGAACTGAAGTGTTGCATTCAATATACGGCAAAGAAACCGCTACAAAGCTACAGATCAAGAGGGCCCAGCCACAAAGGGAAACAGCATGGTGCCTAAGGTTAGAAACCAACCAAATTTAACTGGGGCCAAAAGCAAAACACTGCTAGTGCCAAAGATAAAACAACTAAAGGAGCTACATGAACAAGGACATAGGTAGAGCCTAACACGCGTCCATTCCTTCTAGCTGGAAAGATGAAGCTAAATACTTGGAGGGCAGGGGAGACCGTCTTTAGCAGCTGTTTTGTTGCTGGTGTTGCCTGATGAGTCATCATTCAGGCTGAGGCATGGGCTGGTCTTGTTCATTGTGGGATGCTTCACTTCCTGGAACATTCCAGCAACTAACAAGTCATCATTCAGGCTGAGGCATGGGCTGGTCTTGTTCGTTATGGGATGCTTCACTTCCTGGAACAGTCCAGCAGCTAACAAGTACATATCCTTGATCTACTTTGTCCTTTTTTTTCATTGTTAGTATCTAAGATAATGTAAAATATCAGAGACCCTATATGAAAAGTTATTATTTTATTACTGTGTTGACTGCCTACGTTAATATATAAAGAGTCAAGGTAATTATCAACATCGGGGTGGTGGCGCAGTTGGCTAGCGCGTAGGTCTCATAGCTTCTGAGTTATCCTGAGGTCGAGAGTTCGAGCCTCTCTCACCCCATCAATCTTTTACAATTTTAAATTAAATTTTTCACCCACCTAATTACATAAAGAAGTGGTTTGCTTTTACCATTTTGGACATGGCACTTTAAGAAATGGGAAAGGAGAATTTAATTGTGGGCATTTTGGGATTCCTGGAGTCCAGGAACCCAGGAAGCCGGGAGCTTCTATAATAAGGAGCTAATTTGAGGAGGTTATGTGAGGAGGCCCATCTCACCATCAAAAGGGGTGTGGACCCCCCAATGCACCCCCCATGTACTTTGTTTTTGGTTATTGATGGTGAAATTTCACCTCCTCAAATAACCTCCTCATTCTAGCCTTTCCGCAGGAAGTCCCTCCAGTTCTTTGTAACCTTCTGTTATATAAAATCACATGGGCTTGCATAGACAACTAAATAATGAGAAGGCATATGACCCACTTTAGCGCATGAAAAGAGGGCCATATTTTGATCCATGTACAAAAAGATGAAAAAAGAAGGGAACAAAAAAAGTAGTGGCCTTTCACTTTTTTATCCTTTGTTCCTTTAGTTGCTTTGCTTTTGCATGGCCTTTTTCACATGTCTTTCTTCATGTGATCAATCCAAGAAATGTTCCCTCGAAAGCATCCAGTGGGAAGCTTGATGTCTAGTTGTTGGGAATAAGAGTTGTCATGGGATTGAAATGGTATGGAACGAGGAGTGGAAGCACAAATGGGCCAAGGTGTCATCACCATATCCACCTCCACCACCACATGATTAGCACATAACACTTTCAACATCATGTCCATTTTAATCATTATCCACAATTACAACAGTTCTATATTAAAACTTACCAAATAGTTTTGACATTGTTTTTTATACTAACTGCATTTTAAAAATATTGTTTACCAAATATGAAACAGTTTTACTTTAGAGCTGATTATTTTCAAATTACAACAAAGCAACATTTTTAAAAAGTGACAACAATCTCAAATTAGGCCTTCATATAATGCACTTGAAATCTAATCAAATATTATTGCGGGCTTACTTTTTGTTTATACTAAGGAAAATATCGTCTCTTATTCAAATATTAATGATTTTTATGTCATTTTTTCTTGGAAACCATTATGTGATATTTAATGAGATCAATTCTTTGCAAAGGACTTGTAACTTAAGTGATTAAGAGCATTTATAACACCCGAAATCCTATGTTTGATTTCCTACTCCCCAAAATCAATTGTTTCAAAAAAAAATCTTTAATAATGTAAAATTGGAGAAATTGGGATTAGTCTGCAAATACTTCTCTATTGTCTACTTTAATTTCAACAGGCTCCTATATTTAAAAGAAGGTGAGATTCAATTTTCTTAGAATGGGATTATACCAAATTGTAGATACCTAATCCACTAATCATCAACCTTAAAACATCCACGTGGTAGTAGAAGAAAACAACATTATATATAGTCACTGACATCCGTGGCACATGATAAGGTGACTAAAAATAATGAACACAAATACTCGTAAGCCATCCTCTTGTGCCACGAATAAAAGTGACTATTAATTATTTTTTCTTGTAGTGGATAACTGACCCTCTTGTCTTAGCCAATTCTCATATTTGAATCATGAATTCAAAATAGAAGCATTACCCCTCCCATGTCAAAAGAGAAAAAGTCATGTGTACATAGGGCGCGAAAGTATCATACTTTTTTTCTTGTTGTTTTCAAGAGGTTAGGCTCTACCATTAATGTATCCCGCTCAAGGACCGAAGTTTTTGTGGTCAAGAGGTTAGGCACATTGAAACTTTTGAAGACTGCAATAACGTCGAAAGGGACTCTATTTGATACTATATTTGTAATCACATTATGTGAAAGTGATGTGTAAGTTATTAATTGATGTAAAAAGTACCACAGAATATAGCAATTTGGTGTTAATTTTTTAAGAAATTTCTATGAATTGAAAATTATTCAACCTCATCCCAGCAAGAATTGGCTCGACTGCATCCGAATAACTCCTTATACAAAAGCACTCAGTCATCACTCACACATATAATAGACGGAAGAAAAAAATTATAACCTAATCCTGAGTAAATTTCTAGCTTTGCCCTCGATTGTTATAGAGAGAATTTAGGAGAAACTTTCATGAAAATGCATAAAAAGTCACTATTATTCATCCCTAAGAGCATCTCCAGCGCAGGAGATGCTCCGGGCAAAAGGCCCCCCTCGTAAGCCCAAGCAGCTCCAGCGCTGCAGCCTGCAGCCCGGTTTGGCGTGGGTCCCACCAGCCCGGGCAAGCCCAAGGGCAGGTTTTGCCTGGGCTTCAAACCGAGTTTTGTGACGTCATGCTGACGTCAGTGAGCAAAAAAATATTTTAAAAATATACCAAAAATATTCAAAAAAATTTCCATATTTTTTTTTAAATACCAAAAAATTATAGATGCTTTCCCTATAAATACATAACAATTTTATTCACTTTCTAAATTGTTTATATTTTGTTGCATAATAATTTTTTTCCTTTCTTGCCTTAGACTTGCCCTAGACTTAGCCCTTGTGGGTGGAACCACAAATGTAAAGGCTGACACTATTCACATGAATAGTGACAGCCCTTACTTGCCATTGCCTTGGACTTAGCCCTTGTGGGTGGAGATGCTCTAAGGGACAGCCACGTAAAAGAAGAAAAATCTCTACAGAAATTAGTTAAAAAGCAATGGGACGTTGCCAATGATTGATGTGCTCACCTTAAGACTGGCTCGGAATCACAAGATGATTACAATAGTCACCTGCCCTTGCTTCATGGGTCCCTTCCCTCTCATATCATATTAACTTGGGGTCAGTTGAGGAATTACATAGCCACCGACTACTTTGTGCGTCAATATTCATTAATATTTGTTCCCACACAGGTCAGTTTTAAACCTAGAATGGAATCCATGAAAAGAGGACGAAACAAGAATTTTCCATACCAAAAAAAGAAACAAATATATTACATTATCTTGTCTATATCAAAGGAATTTCATGTCATAAATTCAACACTAACTGAATTTTTTTTTTAAATTTAGGATTAGGGCTTTAACTTCGTAATGATTTATGGTATGGCTTTTCCATTTATCTTGGCTAATAATGTTGACACTCCTTGAGAGAATTCTTGGCTACGCCACTGCTCGACTGCATCCGAATAACTCCTTATACAAAAGCACTCAGTCATCACTCACACATAATAGACCGAAGAAAAAAATTATAACCTAATCCGGAGTAAATTTCTAGCTTTGCCCTCGATTGTTATAGTAGTAATGGTTAGAGAGAATTTAGGAGAAACTTTCATGAAAATGCATAAAAAGTCACTATTATTCATCCCCAAGGGACAGCCATTCATCCCCAAGGGACAGCCACAAAAAAGAAGAAAAATCTCTACAGAAATTAGTTAAAAAGGAATGGGACGTTGCCAATGATTGATGTGCTCACCTTAAGAGTGGCTCGGAATCACAAGATGATTACAATAGTCACCTGCCCTTGTTTCATGGGTCCCATCCCTCTCATATCATATTAACTTGAGGTCAGTTGAGGAATTACATAGCCACCGACTACTTTGTGCGTCAATGTTCATTAATATTTGTTCCCACACAGGTCAGTTTTAAACCTAGAATGGAATCCATGAAAAGAGGACGAAACAAGAATTTTCCATACCAAAAAAAGAAACAAATATATTATATTATCTTGTCTATATCAAAGGAATTTCATGTCATAAATTCAACACTAACTGATTAAAAAAAAAAAATTAGGATTAGGGCTTTAACTTCGTAATGATTTATGAATTCTTATGTTGAGTATTAAAAATATTAGAGTGTGATGTATTTTCAGGATTTAAAGGAAAATACTTCCCTTCTTATTAGGTAAGAAGGAGCTCCTATATTCTTGTTAATAGCAGTGTGACATGTGTGCAAAAGTTTTTCTTTTTATGTTTTCACTGAATTATTTTTTGTATATGTGTCAAACTGTTATTCGTAGGAATGAGAAGTATTTCATTACCGATAAAAAGGCAAGTAGTATATTTTTTTTTTAATGTTTTACCGTTTGAAGCATATAAACTGTTTAAATTGATTTCACTGTGGTAGGGTATGCAATGGGAGCTATTACTTAGGATACTCACATCTGGGTCCCATCAATCCTTGTACTCACAACGTGGCCTCATGCAGGGACATACGTGTCATGGCCCTACCATACAGTGT